TGGTCCCAACAGGAGCAAGTGAAAACCTTGTATATGAAGGTTATATATGAAAAATTAGAAGGCTATACTCAGAGTCAAAGTAGAGCATGCGCCATATTTTTCCGTGTATAAGATGCTACTTTTTCCTAAAATCGTTAGACCAAAAATTGTTGTCTTATACATGGAAATAAGCTGAGCAGAGAACAAAACAGCCCATACCTTGCCTCTGCAAGGGAACAAAACAGCCCATACCTTGCCTCTGCAAACAGGCTTCCTTCAGTCACAAGGCTTAGCTGCCTCCAGTCAGATGGCTTAGCGTCCTACAGTGAGGAGACTGAGCTTTGTCCAATCATAAGCCTTATGTAACTGATGTCAGCTGATGCTGAATACACCAATTTCAACAATGCTCAGTTGCAACAGGGACTCCTAATATCCCAGCGTTCTGAGCCCAGAGGCTGAATAAAGTTAATGTGTGATGCATAATATGACAGTACTGGTATGTAGATGTTACCTAATTACTAAATAAAAATGTGTTGTTTTATGTTTAAAATATTGATTTATTAATTTGGGGTTAGAAAAGTGGAAGGGGCATCTTATACATGGGGGGTCTTATACACGGAAAAATACTGGTTGTTTCCCCCCATTTGTAAAATATATCTATTTATCGTAGCACATGATTCACCTCATCTATAGATAATGCATTTATCATGCTTTGTTTTGTGACTTGTCAGTGGAAGGCCAACATGAACCTAATGTGCAACTCTGATTGCTGAGGCACATATCTCTCATGAAATCCCATTGTGGGAGGGGAAATAGTTTCAGCATTGGGAACACACATTTATCTTAACATTTTGTTTGCTCCTTCTGCACTACTGGGACGGGGGTACAAACATTCCTTGGTGATCCAGTCTTTAGTGTCACATCAAGCCTCATCTCAATTGTGCCTTGTCCAATGCCATTTTGTGGCAGCCAGTGGGAGCTAAGCCAGCCACTTTGCATCTGGATATCTTTACCTGGATTCTGTTTGAGGCCAATGTAGGTATGGCATGCATCACATGTGAAAGCCTTCCAATGTAAGAAGTTGCATACATACCTAACACATATGCTACCTAATTTGTATGCTCCATTGATACACTAGCAGTGCACATACTGAAGAAGTTGGTGTACTAACGCTGCACATGTGGTTGACATCAGGGGACAGCAGTGATATGAGACAGGTTTTGCATTGAACACTTGGAAAAATCTCCATGCATCACATCTGTTTCTGCCCTGTGCAGGACAGCTAAAGTGCCAAAGCATCCTGGGAATGAGAAGAAGTATCTTTATACATTGTATTGATTGACTGACAAAAATGAGAACTGTTTGTCTTTTCTCAACCCTATTTTCTGTTCTTCCCTCCTGTGCAGATGATGGAAATGCTTAAAACAAGCAAAGATAGTCTGAAACTGACTAATGTAAGTGGAAGCATGGCGCCCTCCAGCACATGCGGTGTTGTGTTTTGTGTGCTTCTGCCAGAGTGTGCTGCATGGCTTTTCTGCAATCATCTCTTGATATCTAGCAGCATGTTCAGTATCTTGTTCAGCAGTACAAATATTCATATTCCTCAGTCTGTGTCTTAAAAACAACAGCTCTCCACATCCTTAGCTTTGTCAAGGTGCTTTGTAAATGATGGCTGCAATCTTGGGTGTGGGTTTTATCCCCCAATTTACATACATTTTTATTTCTTCTTTTTTAGCGAATTGGTTGCAGGAGCATGGTTATGACATAACAATTGCATTACAGCATTCCTTATGTCTAGTATTGATACCCAATACAGAAGAACGAAAAGGGTCCCATCTGTATGCATGGATGTCCATATAGCTCCAGTGAGGCAAAACTGACCTTTCTGGAGGCTTTATGTTTCATACACCTGGCTATGACTATCAGTAAGATTTTCTTCCATCTTTTAAGCATAGTACACACAGAGACAATGTAATGCTGTACATGCCTTCCGAGGAGTATGTTTCAGCAACATCAGTGGGGTTTACTCCTGCAGAAGACAGTGCAGGATTAAAGCCATAATGACTATTTCCTGCTAGCTATTAGCCCTAATAAAGACAATGAAAAATGTCATGTAGTTCAAAGCAAGCTAGATGGCTATGACATTTAATGGCTAGGTAGCTTTTGGGGGAAAGGGGCCCAGCACTTACCTTTTCTCACCTACTTTACTATTTCTTGACCAAACCCCTTTCCATATGCACTCGATAGTTTTCTGGCCATGTAGCTATTTTGGGAAGAATGAAGTTAGCAAAGGAATTGTTGATGGAGAATGTGATTCTGATTAGCCGAAGTAGAACCTTATGGGCTCTGTTTGCTAAGCCACTGTTACATCCCATTCTCTAGCATCTGTTGGAGCTATGGAACTTTCAGCGCCCAGAATCCCACCAGCCAAGAAAGATTTATGGCCATTCTGCCTGGGGGATTCTGGGTGTTTTAGTCCCCAAGTCACTTTTCCAAGGTCTGCTCTCTAGCCTGATAAATAGTAACATGGGAACAGAATGGTAGCCAAAGAACCGACACTAAATTGTATGTTTGTTGTAAAAATCATGCCTGCCTGCAGGGTTCTTTCTAAATCATGAGTTCTCCAATAACGATATCCTTACTGGGAATTTCTCCACACTCATCAGTCTTCTGCAGTACACTAGGTGTTTTAAAAAGATCATAATTCAAAGATTAGGTTGAATGACAATAAAACCCTGCTGGTCTGACCAGTGTCGTACATGGACTATATGTGGCCTAAAATGCTTCCCAGAATCCTTTACCTTTTGTGCCAAGGTTATCCAACTAAGTTGCAGCCTGGTTGATTATTGATCTGGCTATTAAAGAGCCTTCATGAGAAATAGCTGCCTTATCCTTGATTAGACTTCTTGCCCAGCTAATCCATAAATTAGAATTGACTTGACAGCATATAATTATTAACCAATCCTTTAGTAGTACTCCTCCCCTTTTTCTGGGTTGTTGCATATTGTGAGGAGTGTGGAGAATCCAAAACATTGTAACATGAATTCTATTAGACATTAAGGTCAGATGGAGAAACTATACACACTGAAAGTGGTTTGACAGTAGCTGAATATTTTCATGCCTATCTAGCTATTTATTTATTGTGTTAGAGTGTTGCCGTATACAGAAAAATTGTATCTATTTAGCTTGTCCATTAAACCCCCAGAAGGTGACTTATTTCTAAACACTGATCTAGCTACCTTGCATGTCTCTAAAATCAAGGAATATCTTGGAGTGTTAATTTTTGTTCACACCGAATGCACGGTGCAGGCCTTCTTTCTTAACTGCAGTGAGGAAAGGTAAGGAATTTCAGAGAGTTGCTGTGAGGGTGAAAATTGGAGAAGGGAATCCATGAAGATCATCCTGAGCTTATAGGAGAAAAAGCAGAATAGAAATATAACAATAAATAGGGAAAGGAGAGAAGCACAACTTAAAAGAGGGGAGGGGTGTCTCTGATGATCCCAGAGGGCAATCTGCTATGACCAGGGGTGCATTGCCACCCTGGTGGGAAACAACTTTTCCGCCATATCAAACTTTGTAGGGCTGGAGGTGCCCAGGATCCACTGCAACCTCACCTGTGTACCTTGCTGTGAGGTACAGAAACAAACCACAATTGAATACCATAACCTATACCAAAAGGATAACTTTCCCTTTCAAATGGTTTATCATGTCCACCTCGACTCCTTAGCATTATCAGGTCCTTTCATGAGGGAATGAAGGGCACTGTAGTTTTTGATGGCTCAACATCAGATCCCTTTGACATCCGAAGAGGAGTGAAACAGGGCTGTGTCCTCATGCCAACCCTGTTTGGGAACTTTTTTGTTATCATGCTGAAGCATGCTTTTGGAACTGCAACAGAAGGTGTCTATCTCCGGACCAGATCAGACAGAATGCTCTTTAATCTCTCTAGATTGAGAGCAAAGACCAAAGTCCAACTGAAATGCATGCAGGACTTCCTCCTCGCAGACATTGTGGCCCACTCTGCTGAAGACCTCCAACAACATATGAATCATTTTAGCAAGGCCTGCCAAGACTTTGGACTAACAATCAGCCTGAAGACTCACCTCCCTCTATTACTATCTCCACGCAAGATTTGGACGTTGTTCATGACTTCGTGTACCTTGGCTCAATAATCTCTGACACTCTCTCCCTAGATGTCTAGCTGGATAAATGAACTGGCAAAGCAGCTACCATGTTCTCTAGACT